ACACTTAGAACTTCAAACTGGCTTAAGGTAGGACTCACACTACCACTGGCAAACCCAAGGGAACAGCAAGAGTCCACTGGGCATTTCTTAGAATATGCTAGAAGTTGGCTCCAAACAAGGAGCTAGAAAGGTATTTGCTGTTACTACCTATGGGTAGTGACTGAGAGCAAAATCAAACCAGTCAAGAACAAAGAAAAAAAGCTAATTTGAGGCTAATCAGGCTTGTAACTTGAAAGATACAGATTCAGTCTTGAAAATTGGATCTGAGACTTTCCAAAATGGTGGCTGTACTGATAGCTTTGCTGACAGGAAAACTGGAAGTCACATATTTGTTTGTTAGAAATTATGATTGATGCTGGAAAAAGTTAAAGCTGTCTTGCAGAAAAGATTCTGGGGGCTCAGTATCTATGCATTCTGGTGGAAGAGGTCTGTTGTACTGGCCAGCCCAAGTTAACCATGTTTCATGTAACTGTTGCTCAGTTCAAAGGTTCACTTTCAAGTGGCTACGATCTGGTGAACCATGGCCTCCCAATGTCACGTTAAGTGCCCAAACCAATCCTATTCCATTTTGATTTTCATTGACAATACAATTAAGTTATTTTTTAAAAATTATGGGGGCTGGAGAGATGACTCCGCAGTTGAGAGCACTGACTCCTCTTCTAAAGGCCCTGAGTTCAATTCCCAGAAATCACATGGTAGCTCACAAGCATCTGTAATGGGGTTTGATGCTCTTTTCTGGTGTGTCTGAAGACAGTGATAGTGTACTCAAATATAAAAAATAAATCTTTTAAAAAATTATGAACCTTGTCTACGTGTGTATGTATGTATGTATGTATGTATGTATGTATGTATGTATGTGCCACATGTGTGCAGTGCCCATGAAGGCCATAGGAGGCATCAGATTCCCTGGAGCTGGAGTTACACACAGTGTGGATGCTGGGAAGTGAACTCAGATGCTTTGCAAAAGCAGCAAATGCTCTTAACTACTGAGTCATTACTCCAGCCCCCAGTCATTTCTTTTTCTTGTCTATATGTAAACAGGTACTTCAAAACAGAAACCTTACTTTTGTGTGTGAATGCACACATGTGCCCATGTGTGGGAAGGGCAGGGATCAACTCCTGTGTTGTTCCTCACATGCTGACCACCTTGTTTTCTGAGGCGGAACCTCTTACTCACCAAGCTGGGCTGGCTGACCATCAAGCTCCAGGGATCTCCCTGTCTCTGATGCCATGCTAGGAGCACAAGCATGTGACACAGTGTGTGGCTTTTCACATGGGTTCTGGAGGTCAAACTCAGGTCCTCATGCTTGCAAGGCAAGAGCTTTACCACCTGAACTCTCTCTCCAGACCACAGTGACCTTATAAGCAGCTGCCTCAGTCAGGCCATTCAAGGCCTAACACTGCATGTTCTAAGTCTTGCTCCTTGTGAAGCTCCTGGTTTCTGTGCTAGAGGACATGTTGCCTACAGTTCTTACAGTTTCTTCTTGCCGCATAACGTAACACAAACAAAGTGTATGGATTCAGCTTAGGTTGCTGAATTTAGACTCAAATTCAGCCAGTCACTCTAACAAGATTCAGACGTCATAGAGAAGTCTATTTAAATCACAAGGAGAAACGCATACATGGGCTCTGGTTCCCTGGGTGACGTTTATTTTTAGCATCTATCCATGTCCAAGTGTATGACAGGAGGCTGCCTAACCTGGAAAGTAGACACAGACATGCTTCCCAAAACAATAACTTTTAGTTTAAAAAAAAATCTATCACTTAAAAAACAAACAAACAAACAAACAACAACAAAAAACCATTTAAATGTGTCCCCTTAGTTTTGTAATCCCTAACTGTAAAACATCTCAGGCACAAAACATTCTCCCAGGCTGCTCACACTGTTCACCAGCACCTAGAGCTGTGCTTCTCAACCTGTGGGTCCCGACCCCCTTAGAGGCTAGGACCCTTCTACAGGGGTTGCCCAAGACTATCTGTATTTACATTACGGTTCATAACAGTAGCAAAATTATAGTTATGAAGTCACAATAAAAATAATTTTATGGTTGGGGAGGTCACCAAAACATGAGGAACTGTATAAAGGATTGTAGCATCAGGAAGGTTGAGAGCCACCGACCTAGAGGGAAACTCAACACTGAAGGCAACAGAGCACTGGACTACATGACATGCTTTAAGTAACAGTACTTTTGCTGCATTGCATGTTATCATACAGGACTCCCAAGTGGCGATGGTGTTCTTTCTAAAGCTTGGCAAACAAACGCATTTGACTTTTTGGTTTTTTGCGGACAGACGCTTCTCATGAGGAACACTATTCCATGTAGACCTGGGTTAAAACAGATGTCGGTTAAGGCTGGTTGCACTGCGGTGCACAGGGGTTGGTAACAGTGGACTACCTTAGGACTGTCAGGCTGAGACCTATGACACTAGCTTCTCCATCACCTATGCCTGAGGTGGGAACTCAGCTAGAGCCAGAGGTTTAGGGATAAAATGTGCAAAGCCTGGAGAGTGCAGTTCTAGGTTTGCCTTTTCTTATGAAGTACCTAAATCTGAGCACAGTCCCGGGTGGTTTAGAATGCAGCCACTTGGAATAGGGCAGGGTAACTGAACAATTCACTGCTGTCTCTTGGTCGGGAGTTCATGCAGAATGTGTTCATTTGACAAAGCTTCCTAGCAACTTCCCAGGCCAGAGTCTTCTTTCTACCCCAGATGTGCAGTTCCCTGGCTTCCTGGCAGGAATCCCTGTCTCAAAGCAGCTTTATCCTTGGCTATCTCTCACCCATGGCCATCTTCAGAACACAGGGTGGCCTTCTACATGTTATCAACAGCTATGAGAAGCTGCAGGGCCCCTCTGAGCAGGGATTTCTCTGGCTCAGAACCCCCTTAACACTGCAGGAGCTTTCTAAAGGTTTGTTGTTATTCTTAAATTTGGGGAAGCATAGTTTTCCTGGTTTAGCCAACACCTCCCCCCCACCCCCCCAAAAAAAACCCCAAAACCAAAAAACAACCAAACCCTGGAAGTGATCACATGCAAAGTGAAATGTATCAAGCAGATGTTTTAGGACTGACTTGTGGTCACTTCCCATCTGGGGATTGAACAGTAGCTTGCTGAGTTACAACGTTGCAGCAGCTTGTTCTCACAGGCAGAGTCTGAGTCTGCAATGTCCCCCCCCCCCCCCGCCCCCAACGTAGGAACAACTAAATGGGCTTCTGTGTCAGAGGCTAGGCCCCTGACTTGCTGTTAAGGAGGGAGTGGACCTTGTAAGATCCGGCTTAAGCAGGATGTTCTCAGGTCACTAGGACTGTGCCTCTGAAGGGAGGTGGGCCCCCACCCCTCTCTCTTGGCTGAGAAGCAGTGGTTCTGTGTTAGTCCTTGCTCTTGCCACACTGTGCTGTCTCAGCACTGGCCCCAAACAAGGCCAAAGAGCACAAGACACCACTGAGGCCGTGAGATGAATGAAATCTTTCTCTTTGTAAGCTGTCTCAGGAATTTGTTGTAGTAACAGGAAGCCAACACAACAACAGCCAGCAAAATGTTCTATAAAGGGACATTTTTTCAGATCTTACAAGGCCACGAAGTCTCTGTTTTTTTTGTTTTTGTTTTTTTTTGTGGTGGGGCTTAGATTTCAGTCTGCCTTGGAAGCTTTATGCTTTTGCCTCAGCCTCCCCATGCTGGGATTACAAGTGTGTGCCACTTTGCCTAACTTTTTTTTCTATTTTAAAAAACAATTTTTTTTTTTCTTGAGATGATACTGGCTGGGAACTTCCTACGTAGATCAGGCTGGCTTTGAACTCACAGAGATTTATCTACCCTGCCCCTCAAGGGATTAAAAGTGTGCATGTCAAGTCCTGCTAAAACAATCCCTTCAGAAGTTGAGAACAATATTCTTAGCTCAAAGGCCTTCCAGACTCGATATGCTCATTAGGTCTTACTCCAGAAGCTCTCAGCAGTGCAGCCCTGGGAACTGAGTCAGGATTACTTTGAAAAGTCAGACTGGTCCTTGCAGCAGGGGTCCCATTACAGGCTGAAAACAGAGCGCCTGCTTGGTCCCATTCTGTCCCCAAACTGCAAGAGCAGCATCAGACCAGCATCTTTTCTTTACCTAAAGTAGAGGAGGAATCTTAAAGAAGGCAGGTTTCAGCAAGTTCTTATACTGGCTTTTTCTTGCCTTTGTTGTAAAGACAAATGCCCCAAATTTGAAATGGTGTTTACATATTTTCAGATTATGGGGCTTCACCATTCCTCCTGCCTGGCATCAGGAGAGAGGTACAACTAAAGTCTAACACCACCCTTCCTCTTCATCGTCAAGGCCACAGACAGTTCACAGGGCACACACACACACAAACACACAGACACATGTATGCAAGTGTATGCATACACACACATACACACACACACACACACCCACACACCTGCTCAGAAATTCAAGGGAAAGGTGCCAGCATGGTGACAGCTAAGGACTCCAATGACCAGCTTACCTGTGGCAGGACTGAAGCTGCTGTTGGCTTTAGAAACTCACCCTCTCAAATTTATTCCAGTGTATGTCCCCTGGGACATGATCCACATAGAGGCCAACGCCATGGCCCTAGCTCCCACCAGTGTCTTTCATCTACAACAGTCACTTTGAAGAGATGAGGAATTTGGGTTTCTTTCATAAATGTGAAGTCTTATGTGGCTGATGTGACATACGCCACACCTTTTCTCTAAGGGTGACAGGGCTTTGGAGTAACTGTTCTCTCTCTCTCAGAGTTCTGACTAAGCAGCTGAAGGTTCTTCAAATATCCATCTGCTGCTGACTACTTCAACTTAAGAGTTATGGAAATAGGAAATATGTGCTTTACCACTACCACCACCAAAACAAAACCACCTCCATGTATAGGGATCCCCCACATTTCTGACCTAAATGAACAGCACAAAAATGAACGCACGAACGAACGAAGCTCCCACCAGCCTCACACATCCCGGTTGTCCTTTTCAGGTTTCTGCTTAAAATGTCAAATTTGTTTTCAATGTGTGCATTTATTTTTTATTTTAAATTCAGGCTCTTCCACGTGTGGGCTTACAGTGCCATTGCCAACGACAGCTGCAACCACAGTGTGACTGTCAAGCAATGTGTGGGGCATCCTGAAGAAAAACAGTGAAGAGATCTGAACAGTGGCGTGACAGCTTAGAAGTGGAAGAGCCTGGAGCAGCTCGACAGCACAGAGCGGCCGCTCAGCGGCATCGGACATCTGCAGGGCACACTTCTGCTCTCAGACCACTAGACCAGGAGCTTTAAAAACTTTCTGGTTTAAAAACAAACAAACAAAACAAATGAACAAACAAAACCCAAGGCTGCTCTGAGAGGGCAACAGAGACCCCAAGCACAGGGCAAGAGTGGCTACTTTATAGGTGTGTGCTCGCCTGCAGCAGGGCACAGTTCTCCTCAGTAGCTCTCATCACTGACTACTCTTCAGTGTCACCTCCCTGTGCCACCATCTTGTCGATTTTTCATATGAAGGACTAAAGTCTTAAATCTGCCAAAACACCGATGGCGACAGACCTGAGCAGCAAATAAAACCAAACACCTCCCTTCTAGGCTGAGGTGTTTGGAGAGGAAAGAGGGTATAACTCACGGCTTGGTTCTGTCCCAGGACACTCTGAAGTCCCACCCACGCTGATGGAAACTTGCCCACTGTTCCCTTGCACAGATATCCAAGTACGTGAAAGTGCAGCATGTCCTACAAGCCTTACTGGTGTGCGGCAGATACTATACAGCACGAGCCAAGTAAAGTCCTTTTTCCCACCCCTCCATTTAAAGCTGTGTTCAATGGTAGTACCTCTAGACATCAGGGTTTACAATCAGAGGGTTTTGGTAACAGAAAGGAAAGGGACAAACAAAACTGTCTGAGCATACGAGAAACCCTGAGGCAAGAATGGCTTTTCCTGTAGAGTCTTCTTCAGGCTGATTCAGTGTCTGTCACAAGGGCCCAGGGCCCTTCTGGGAGGGCAGGCCTTCCTCTATCCACAGAGAGCCAGTGCGGGGTGCCCTGCGGTGGATGCGTCGCAGCCTCAGCAGGTAGAGAAGGATGGACAGAAGGACGACCAGGAAGCAGCCAGAGAATAGATAGTGGTTATAGACGAAGGACACGCCCCGCCAGTGTGCATGGCCAGCCCGGAAGACCTCCTGCCGGATATCTCTGCAGCATAGAGACAAACAGAAACAATAGTGAGAAGGGTACAGGAGGGGCCTGCTGTTCCTGGCTTTCCTTACCTTCAGAACGGGATAGCAGGGTTCCCTGTCAACTACATTGTTAATAGTAGAACAATGACATTTTGAGGCATGTCCTTAAGACCCTAGCATTATCATTTCATCAACAAACATCTGATAGATGCAGGTCCCAGGTTTTGTTCTTACAGGGAAGTTAATGGGGCAAACACATTCACACGGAACTTTGTATAATCAGTAACAACTCCTAAACAGAATTTCTGGAGGTGATCCAACTTAGAATACTAGATAAATATGGTTATAAATGTGGATCATCTGAGCTAGGTCTGCGAACTTGAATGAAGAGAGCGGTATGTCTTTATGTGACCAAGTGTGGACTGGAATCCAGTATCTCCTTTGGTCATGAATCTACACAGACAATGCCAGTCTTAAAGAAAAGTATTAATGGACACTGCGGTGATAAGGACCCATTATGAAGGGCGATGCCTCAGCTGTCAGTCATCATCATGCTGAAGGAACAGACATGATGGTTCTGCTACCAGACATGACAAGAGTGTGTGTTAATAAAGATGTATTCCTGCATCACAAATCTGTCTGCTACAACAGTGTCATAACTGCGTTTCAATGCAATGGTTTCCTTTGCAATCCTAGACACTATATGAAGGAGCCCAAAGTCATAAGGATCACCACTAAACGGGCCCTTCTGCAGGGTTAGGGAACAGACACATGGGACACAGGCTGGCATTACAGAGAGTTGTTATGTTGTGGGAGAAAAGGAAGCCCTGGGGAGGGAGATGGAGAAGATCCAAGTTAACTAACTCAAGTGAGTCTGGCTCGTCTCACAGCTCTGACAACACAGCCACAGAATACAGCCACCAGGAGGCAGTGTGCTCCAGAGAACCATCGGTTGGGACTCTCCCAAGCCTACCTCAAGGGCAGAAAGCGGGTCCTGTAAAGGATCGCCCCCAGGGTCCACTGCACTTCCTTGTCATACACCTGCAAGGCCGTTTTGAGATTTTTGTATGTGACAGGAAAGGAGAAGCCTCTGTGGAATACCTCAAACATCCAGGCTGATTTGAAACACTGATACCTACAAATACCAAGCACAGGCATGGGTCAGACAGTCACTAGACAGAATGTCCCCAGTTTGCAGCAGACCAGCTCTGAGAAGGTGACACATATGTGCTGCTAAGTGATTATTTAGCTCAGGTTGTTGCCCCTCAGGTTGTTGCCCTACACAGAGAACAGTTTACCTGTCAGAACTGACCAGCCTGAAACAGTGTCATTCAATCACTACTGTGGGATGCTACCCTCCACATGCCTTCAGCACACCATCATTTAATAAACAGATGCTTCCACGTTCCATCTCCTTGAAACCCCAGTCTCTTTATGACAGAGGGAAAAGGCAGGAGGATCCTTTTCGGCCCATCCTCAATGTTTACTAGAGTCCCCTCCCCCTCTTACGAAGTACTGGACTAAGTAAGTGATAAAGCATGGTAACAAACAAGACTCAGTCCCTACCCAAGTGACTTAAACAAAGGGATCTTATAAACCATATCATTAATGTCCTGGGGAGTCAGGCTGAAGGAACAGGAAAATTGAAAGGGGCAGCATCCCATGTAACTCTGATGTTCAGAGCAAACAGGTACAAAGAGGAATTTGTGTGGAAAGAATTTCAAAACTGAGCAGAAAACCCATAACAAAAACGTGTCCCATTTGAAAGAGGCCAAGGGTAGAGAAGGACGATAAGGAGGGTCACCCGGCAGATTAGGACTCAAGTGTCCACCACTTACTTAAGTCGATGGAGGTCAGCATGAGAGGCATACAGTCCTCGGTCAAAGCGTTCCCGTAAGATCGACCACTTTGTTGCACAGTAATCCTGAAAACAGTTTCACCCCAAATAAATCATCCCTTATAAAAGCTTATTAAAACAACTTTTCCACTTACAAATGGCTTACCAAGTTCCTATTCATACCAAGCACAGAAAACACACAAGCAGAGAGATGTCTGTACAGTCAACTCGAGGCCTGGGCTCTGTGAGTCCCTGCAGACCAGTTAACTGTATTTGCCCTTTACCCAGGAATCCTGCCCACCACCAAACTCTCCAAACTCATTTAGTTCTCCCATCCTCACAGCACCAGAACAAACTCTGGCAAGGTGAAACTGGTTTTGGCCTGTTCAAACTGAGTCCTTGGGTTTGGGGCAGACTGAGCACTCGGGGAGGATGGTGATGGAAAAGTCACTTGGAGTCACATTAACTGGTCACACACTCACACTGTCCTTCTGAAGGGCACTGACCTCCCAACATGACTCCTCCTCACCTTTCTACTGGATGAAGGAGCGGGGACTTAGAGAAATGCTGTGACAGGGAGCACGAGGGAATGAGGCAAGAGGAAGGGAAAACATCAGGAATGAAGAAGCAAGGTGGGGGTGCACAGTGTAAGGTCATGCTGCTCGCTGTGCTCAGAGGACACTGAGCTAGTGTGACAGGCTGAGATGAGTAGACTTCAGCCTGTGAAACGGCTTAAGACTTTACATAGTACAGCAAGGTGACGGCATGAGAGCTTCAGACAGAACACCCCAGGACAGCACGCAGGTGAGCACCAGAGAGACCAAACACTGACAGCTCCTGGTGAGCCAGAGGGTTGGCAAGGACTGTCAATAACAGGAATCAGGGACCGGCTTGAGGAATACTCATGAGAGAAACTATCACTGACTATAGGGGTGGGCAGGGGCATCTGGAAGACAGAGAGGCAGAGGGTTCGGGACACGGCTCAGTAAGACAGCATTTGCCCAGCATGTACAAGCCCGGGACTCTATCCTCAGCACTATAATAAAATAATACAAGAGCCATGTCTGGAGGAAGGGAACTGGATGGCTGGTAATCACTAAAATGGCACAAAAGAGACAGACAAAGAGAGGACTTGATTTGTCTAGAATCATGAAACTCAATGGGTTAGGATCAGAGACTGACTGTCAGCATCCAGACAACCACAGCACACATGGGACAATCGATGAACTGAAGAACTTGAAGGGCAATGGGCTGTGGCTGAAGACAAAAGCCATCGAGGCTGATGACATATGACAGGGCAAACCTCTGTCAAAGAGGGAGAACAGAGGGAACAAGATCATAGGCGTGTCCTGGCTGCTGAAAGGATTTTGAGATGTGGCAATCAAAAGTGAACTCAAGGCTTTGTTGTGTACATTCCTGTGATGACACGGTTAGTCGAGCTTAGGCTTTCTTCTATGACTACTTCCTACAGGACAAGTGAAGGGAGAGGACAGATGTTTCCCTACAAGAACAATGGAGTCAGGACCTGCAGCCTCACGGTCTCTGTTTATGCTCTGGAGACAGCATAGACTTTCTTGGGACATTACCTTGGCAGCTTTAGTAAATTTAGCAGCATTATAGTCTCCCCCCATTCGCAAGACATCCTCGGTGCAATAGTAGAACTCAGAGAAGCCATAGAATTCACTGTTCTGGAAGTGGATTGGAGGCTGGTAGACACCATTGAGGGAAGTCTGTGTCTCATTGGTTTTGTTCATGAAAGGCTGGAGGGTCTCTCGACACAGGTCAAAGTCTCCTGTTCCCCGAAGGTACAGGGTCTGCCCATTTTGCTGGATCTCATCTTTAATGTCCAGAGGCAAGCAGGGGTCCAGGAACGGAGCATCAGGGGTCAGACCAGTCTGTTTGCCCAGGAGCCTGTGGGACAAAGAATAATTTACCATGAGACCCATGCTACATACACTGTGCTTTGGACAAGTGGCTGCAAGCCAGTGTTCTCCTAACATGGGTCCCACAGACTTGAGCACGGGAATACAAAGTGTTCCAAACAAAGTTAGTAAAACAGTCACCCAACCCTCTCGCAGAGATCCACAGTCACATACAAAAGCATGCTGAATCCAGGTAAACAAGGAGTGAGACGACCCGACTTTTCATCTACTTACTGTGTGTGTGTGTGTGAACGGGTATGCAGCACAGCATGCATTATGGAGATCAGAGAACAGCTTGAGCAAGTAGGCTGTCTCCTTCTACATGTGGGTCCCAAGGACGCAACTCAAGTCAGTAGGCTTGAGCAGCATGTGCCTTCAGCCACAGGGCCCCTCGAGGCCTGACCTGATGCTTTTGAGACCCATCAATATAATCTGACAGGATGTCTGCTGAGGACCCAGCAACCATGTGGCCACACCCCTATTCTGCCACTACTGCTTGGACCATACAGAGTTGGGTGTAGGGTGACTGTGAAAAGAACCAACTTGTCCTGGAAAACCCGGTTGGCTGTTTCATAAAAATAAGATACATACAGACTGACAGAAAGCTGTTGTCAGATTATGCATGGAAAGTTAGAGAACTGGGGAAAAGTAAACCCTAGAAGGATGTGGGATCAAGTTGCTTGGCAAAATGTCAGTCAGTTGCAGATGTTCTTTACAACAGTTGAGCCAAACTGACAGGTCAGTGAAGACGCAGTGTGTGCAGGGGGTGATGGACGGAGCCCAGGAAGAGACAGTAACCCACAGGCAAGACCATCCAGTGAGCATGGGAGCAAAAACACAACGAGGAAGGCTTGAGTCTCCTCATCTGGTTGTATCATCCCCACTGTCATCACCACCAATCAGCTACTGGCCTAGAGAGCAGAAGGCTTTATTATTGCTGTTGTTGTTAGTCAACTACTGGCCTAGACAGCAGGAGGCATTATTATTGTTGTTGTTAATAGTCAACTGCTGGCCTACATGGCAGGAGGCAGTAGCTACTTTTGCTGCACTATCAGCTCTGAGGAAGCCTGTGAAAAGAACAGTTAGCCTTGTTGTAACTGCAATACATGAGGCTAGTCACATCCAAGAGTTATCCTGTTAATTAACCCATCCTCCTACTGTATGTGTGAATATTTACACAATCGATAAACAGAAAACCAAATTTTTTACAGTGGAAGTGATGCTAGTGTCAGGTACTATGGACTCCCAGGTCTGATTGTCTTTGGTACTATGGACTCCCAGGTCTGACTGTGTTGGGTACTATGGACTCCCAGGTCTGACTGTATTGGGTACTATGGACTCCCAGGTCTGATTGTCTTTGGTACTACTTGGGTACTATGGACTCCCAGGTCTGACCGTTAGGAGTTGAACCCTGCTGGAGTCACTTGCCCTCACTGACAATCTTTTCTAACAAGCTGTGCATTCCTCCCATCAGAGTTATTCATAATGTACTTGAGTGCAATCAACAATGGTCTTTGCCATAAAATTATTTATTCTAAAGAAATGAACTACCACTATAACTAGCAGAGACAGGTATGAATTTCAAGGCTCAATTAATGGCATGCTTATAATTATCAGGAGTTTTAAGCAGCTAAATGTGTGTCTCACACTACTATTTCTGTGTTCTGTGTCTAGCTTAGGAGCATATACATTATACAAAACTTTTTTTTAAATTAAGAGCACTGATTGCTCTTCTAGAAGATCTAGGTTTGATTCCCAGCACTTACATGGAGACTTACAACCACCTGTAACACCAGTTCCAGGGGATCTAGTGCCCACTTCTGGCTTCTACGGATACTGCTTGTATACACTGTATAGACATACACATAGGCAAACACCCATACACATAAAAATAACTAATAAAATTTTTGGAAAAGATTAAATTGGCTAAGTAAATATACTATTACTTAGCTCTAAAATGATGATTTCCTCTTAAAAACGTTCTATCAAAACAAACAAACAAACCAGATACAGGAAGAGCAAGGTGTTTTACATACACAGACTCTGTCCTTGTTTCAAGCCATTTGTCTGTTCTGATGGGCATACTTCATATAACTAACTGGTATACTGTTAAGCTTATTACTGTAATTCATTAATTCATTCATTCATCTATCCATTCATTCATTCATTTGTTGGATTCTTTTCAAGACAGGCTTTCTCTGTTAATAGTCCTGTCTGTTCTAAAACTCAATTTGTAGATCAGTGTGGCCTTAAACCCACAGAGATCTGCCTGCTTCTGCCTCCTGAGTGTTGGTATTGAAAGTGTGCTTCATTACTGCCTGGCTCTTTTCTTTTCTTTCTTCTTCTTCTTTTAAAAAAAAAAAAAGACAGGGTCCTGCTATGTACTCCTGTGTGGCCTTAAACCATGTAGACCAGGATGGCCTTGAACTCACAGAGGTCTTCCTGTCTTGGCCTCCCACGGGGCAGAACTAAAGGTGTGCACCCTCATGCCCAGCTAACCTCACAAGCATCAATCTGACAGGAGTGATGCTCTTTCCCCTGTTTTTCTTTCACATATTTTCTACACCAGAATTTCACATAAACTCAGATTTTTTTAAGTTTTCACTCATAAAAATGTGAGGAATTTTTAGTTTTATTTAGGTTTATACTTTTTGAGATAGGGCCTTAATAGGCCTTAAATTAATGATGTAATGGTTTATAGGCAAGTACCATTATACCCAGCTTAAAAATATTTTAATATCCTAAAATTACTTCAAGGTATTACTTTACTCTTAATCCCTTTTTGCTGTGGTTCTCAGTGACAGTGTCCAGTATCTCTAGAACATTCCTTATTTGAGACTTTCTGAGGTCAAGAGCAGTGGTTAGTGTGAGCCTCATGGGGGTCAGCAGTGTGGCATCACTGTCTGAGCTTTCCCAGGCCTTTCAATCAGCCACAGTGTCAGTCACTCAGGAGCAATGTCATCTAGAGTGATGCGAGGGTCCCACTCTATCAGATGGAGAGAGAGAAAAGGTAAGCACACACACGGGTGAGACAGGGGCTGGTGGCAGCTAAGAGAAGGTACTTGACCTGACTCTAGTTTTGATGAGGAGCAAGATAGCCTGCAGGTGCCTGCTGAGGAGGGGCAGCGGCTGTACCTGTTTTTCTGAACTGTGCTGGCAAATAGTCTGTCTTCATATCTCTGCCGAGCAGCATTGCCACCAAACCCAAGAAATGTGGCCACATAGACTCGGTACACGTGCTCAGTCTGGTGGACATCACACCCCAGGTTGAATTCAGCTAACAAGTTTTTAGCTACTTCTTCCTGTAGGCACAAGGATGACACATTTTGGTATTTTAAAGCAACTTTAGCTCCAGTTAAAAAAGAAGGGCCTAAAAGGAGTTATATGAAGAGCAGGAGATTCTCTCTCCACTCCCTAAGAATGCTCTAGGCCTCGTTTATAATGCAGCATGATGCTAACTGAGGGACTTGCAGCTGCTGCACATGAGTGGGGCTAGGGCTTTCTGAAAAGGAGGTCAGTACTACAGTTCCCCTCGGACCCACAGATCTATTTATGTTACCTCCTGCTGTGGACACAGACCCAAATACAGCAATGTCCTGATAATAAAGACACCTTTATTTAAAAAACAAAACCAAAACAAAACAAAAAAGAGAAAGAAAAAAGAAAAAGAAACCGCCTGAGAAGTCAACACTAAGAGAGGGTTAGGCTAATGGCAGTAGTCAGTTATAGAGGGATACACTGTGATACACTGTGCACTGTGGATAAAGGGCACACTCACACAAAAGGCAAAATCATAACAACCACATCTTTAAACTATGACAAGAATAAAAATAATGGAAAAAATTCACCAAAACACTAACAATGCTGTTTTTAAATGATGGTGAGTCCAGGGGGAGTTTTTATTCTCCTGTTTGCCCTAAGCTTCCTTTGTAGTTTGCTGCTTTACAGTGAAGGGAGAAAGCAGGCAAGGCAGCCTCTAGAGGCATAGCTGAGATGGGAAGTAGGAAACACAGGCTCAAATACTTGAATTTCTAAAGCACTTTTCCAAGGAGCTTAACAATGACAGCAATGAGGCCTCCTCAGCACACACTAGGGGCTGAGTGTTAGGCACACAGCGGCCATTCAATGGCTCCACACTGGAGGGACTTTTCACAAGGGTCTGGCTCATAGAAGTTATAGGACCAGCATAAGGTCACACAGCTAGGAGGAACAGGGTGATGCTGCCAACTAGGCTTGTTCAGCTCCAACTCTGAACTACCACCTGGTACACGATCCCTACTGTGGGGAAGACAATGTAGGAGGCCATGCTTTGGTGTCAGCTTACAACTGGAGGAAATAGTAATGACAGACGTGATGATTTTGGGACACATGGAAATGGCTCTGTTGTCCTTTCTGGAAGGCACAGCCTGCTGAGGACCACAGACCCTGACAGAGCACCGAAGGGCTGGAGGAAAGATGGGGTGAACCAGATGTGGAGTACTGGGTACCAACCTCAATATTTTCCAGTCCAAAACTAAAAAAAATTGTGCTGGTCATAATCTCCCAATGATATATAATGCTATATTATTTATTAAAGTGACTGAAGTGAAAATATAAACAGAAGCTCGAGCATGCGACTGACATATACACCAGAGAAAAACTCAGAAAACAAACCAGCTAGTCTCAATGTACAAACGCAATCGGCTTGGCTGAGGCCTGCCTCATTCTCCTGCCTCCTTCCTCCTGGGTTGAGAAGGTGAACCTCAGCAAGCAGAGTAAGGATGTGTCCAGACTCAGGAAACAAAACAGAGATGGATGGAGACATGTTAAATGAACGGAACCACACAGAAGGCAGTCTATACAGATAATAACCTGCTGTGAGGAGGCCAAGCTTACAGTTTTGGGGACTTCGTATGCTATCTGAGTAGACACGCCTCCCATGTCAAGAACACCAGCTGTCCGTTTCCGCACGATGGCCTCGTTGCTCTGGCTGCCGGGAATGTTGACTTCCACAACCGCCTCATCATCTGGAGAGAGAAGTGTCCCCTCTCTTTGAAGAGCACTCAGGCCACTCCTCCCCATGAACTCAACTACAGCTTAGACTGCAGCTCTGCTCACCCAACCCTTTGTACTGAACTATCTCATAACACTTAGGTCCTTCTCTGCCCTTGGGTTGACCATAAACTGTGGCTGTAACTTCCAACCAGATGGTAGTAGAAACATGGCACTTACCCTCCTCAATATGCTCAAACCGTCCAAGGACAAAATTGATGCCGATCCAAGCATACACACCTAGACATTTCAGAGCAAAATTAAGAAAAAAAATGAAGTTTAAAATCTCTGATCGATTTGGTCTGTGTGAGCTGTCTCACTTAACCCCTGACAGCCTGAGACAGAATCACCAAATAACACATTTCTGCTGTTCTATCTTGCCCTAGATGGTTTTACAAGAACTCTCAATTCCCTCCCACCTTTTTTTGACCTCTCAATTTTAAAGCTTATACTTTATATCAGATGATGTTGAAAATATAAATTCCACAGTGATTCCACACTAACTTCCTCTCATCTTTCCTGTATCTTTGTCACCCACATAGCTACTAGGTCTCAGCCTATACCTGTCAACATTCCCTACAGCCCATTTCTATCCAGCCCACTGCTACCTTGATTTGTGTCATCATGCAGTGAAGGTGACAAGCTAATCAATCTTTGACAACAACCTCCTCTATCCTATCCTGTTGGGCTGGGCCAAAGAACAATGTCCAAAGTAACAGGCTGATAATTCAAGATGTGTCCAGCTTTCAACATCACCACTTCCTTTCCACAGGGCCATGATCTGGCCAAGTAAAAGCCCATGTTGGTCCACAGTGGCACTCCTTCCCAACCGCAGTAACAGTGATCACTGCTGCCCCACCCAAGTTTCTTCTACCTACTGATATAATGTACTTTCTTCCCAAAGGTTACACTTAGAATACTCCTAGCTGAGCAGAGGGAAGGAGATGACTTTCTCTTTCACAGTCCCAGGGTATTTTTTCACTTCCTTTGGGTGCCGGAAGTGATCTCTTACAATTCTGAGGGCTGTACTTGTCTGTAAGGAGCTCGTGGCTGATCTGCTCAAGTCTGTGTTTCCTGGTGCATTTCCACAGGAACCCTGGCTGGATGGTGAGTGACAGAGGACAGATACCACACATCTAGGTCTCTGCTCCTAGAATATCATTTCACTGATTGGTTGTTTCTCACTCAAGTGGAAGAATTTCTCTAAAACAGAACTAGTATTTTCTCAGTTCATCAAAGGCAAGAATTCCTCTTTGGCAGAAGTAAGTCAGAAGTTCATGGCCCAGAAGGATCTCTCAGCTGGGCAAGGACACAGACTTCCTCCATCAGTCTGTCCAAAATACATTCTTTAAATGTGGTGAGGACAAATGAGTTATGTTTAACAGTTTTAGGGCTATCCAATAAGACCAGTCATCTAAGAGACTTGTGTAGTCTTTAAGAGTATCTCAGGGCTATGGTTTCCAGTGACTCAATACATTGCACAGTGTGGAGGGAGGCTCTGAAGGTGCTGCTTCCAACACTCCAAACTGATGGTCTGATACCAACCTTCTTGTTTTCCTGAGATGACTTCGGCATGGGAGTCAGAAAACAGGAAGTCATAGTGCACAGGGATGTCGGTCAGGAGGTCCTCCAGGATGGCTTTCTGCTGGCTGTAAGGCAGTCCCAAAATTTACCACCAAATATCCTTTTTTTGTTTGTTTGTTTTTTTAAAGACAAAAACAAAGACACCTTGTGATTCTGTTATACCCTACATGAAAGAGTTAATTGTAAAACTAAAGTGATTCATTGAAAAGATTGCTTATCTCAGGAATGTTCTTTCCAAATGAAAAAGTTATGTGAATCATGTGATTTCCAGCTCAGTGAGCGGAGTACGTGTCCAGCATGGACGAAGCCCTGAGTTTCATCCCCAGCAGTGTATAAACTGGGCATGGTGGTGTAAGCCCACAACCCCAGCACTCAGGAGGCGGAGGTAGAAAGACTGGAAATTTAAGGTCAGGCTTTACTACATATTTAGTTTGAGGCCAACCTGGGATATGAGACTCCGTCCCCCCAATCCCTGCAAAGTTAACCTTATAATTTATAGTAAAAAAATAAAAAAGTAGATTAAAAGCTCTTTGATGAAGTCTCCATAAGAGAATAGCTCTGAGACTAGTCTTGACTCAAGAAAGGACTTTCAGCGCCACAATACAGACAGTAACAACGACGAGGAGGAGAGAGCAGTGAGCCACCCCTCCTTTGCACAGATCACCCGCCCTCCAGGCTGAGGAAGATCACCTTTCAGGAAGGACTCTCATTCCGGCTGTGCAGAGAATGTAGAGAGGTGTCTCTTTGTGTTTGGCCCGAGGCACGTGTTCTGCAGCAAAGCTCAGAAGCGGAGAAATGTAATCGCTGACTTTTTCTGGAGAGGTAGCAAACTCTGAGATACCTGCAGAAATGGACAGCTGGGTTAGCAGGGATGTCATGGTGCTAAGAGAAAATGTCTTCAGTGTGCTGCATCCGGGAGAGACTCGGGCTTCACTCTGTATCCTCCTAGCATTGCCTATCCCTCTACTTCCACACTGCTGTGTGGTATGAAGGGTTTACTTCCATGCCCTCTTCGCTGTCATCAGGATATCGATCTGACTGAGCATCTGCTATGTGTCCACACAGGAGCACATTCTTGCCCTTGAGAAACGTGCCCTTCTCTCCTCAAGCAAATCCCAATGGCTGTAATGCCATCCACATGCCACAGGTCTCCAGCTCACAGCATCAGTCCCTAGTTCTCTTCCCCAACCTTCAGATCAGGTCATGGTGACTGTCTAATGCACACAGCCACTGCCTGTCCTCACGGACACCCCAAACACACAGTTTTGCAGCTGGTACTACAGATCTGTTTCTGCTGCCTGTTCCCCACACTATGCCTAGGCTGGCATCCAGGGTAAAGTCTCTCCTCCCCCTCCCCCCAAGACTGCCTTCCATTTTCACTGACCACTTCTGAGTATGCTTATGCTAGTTTCTTCAGATACTGCCAACTACTGCTGGCCTAGAGTAACTCACTGCCTTCCGTTTCCACTTATCGCTCCATTCCCTACCCCAGGGTTGCTTTTGTTTTTGTTTTGTTTGTTTGTTTGAAACCCTCCTATGGGTCCTTTAACCAAGCTAGACAAACTCAGCTTAGAGATACACAGCTACACACAAAACGGCCCATCCTTACCTCCTCTCAAGTCCCTTTCTCTCACCTCAAAGCACTGAACTAACTCTTCTGCACCCTGCTCTGGCCTTTGGGCTTCTGAGTCCCCTGCAGAAAGAGCCTTCTCTTCCTCCACTTCCTTTACCCAGTCAACTTCTGCCTGTTTAATAAGCTTCCACAGAAGTCTTCCCTAGCAGAGCCCTAAAGGACACCAGCTATCCTTACAGCCTGTGCGTCACCCTGTGCCAGCTACGTATCTGTTCATCACACCACATTCCTTAGTTGCCTCATCACAGCTGGTGAAGGGCATGCACTGTGTCTTGTGCAGTTCATATCCCAGCACTGAACAGTGCCTGGCAAGTGGAGATGCTCAGGAAAATCTGCTCAATACTTACTATTAAAAGTGGATGGGAGCTAAGGAGACAGCTCGGCAGTTGAAGCATTGGCTGGTCTCGCAGAGGACCTAGGTCTGTTTCCCAGCACTTACATGGTGGCTCACAACCAACCAGTTCAGGGGCTCCAATGCCCTCTTCTGGACTCCCTAAGCAATTGTATACATGCATTGCATATACATTGCATATACCCAGGCACACAGACATAATTAATAAATACATCTCTTTAAAAAGTAAATGAGTATTTATAGCTGTCATTGAGCCTACAATATCAAAACAATGGGGACCTGAGAAGTTCTACAATTTATTGCTTTACACATTAGGGAATTGTAGACCCAGAAAGGAAATAGCAGAAAATAGAGTTAGATAAAATAGAAAATAGAACGTTAAATGTTAAAATAAAAAAGGCAAAACTTTTGACTCTAAACAGAGAGCTAGTTCAGTGGAAAACTAAATCCCAAACTAACCAGAATCTATTTTACTATACTTAGATCCTTGTTTATATTAACACTGGGAGACGAGGAGTCATTGCTATAAAAATGGTACGCTGATTTCCACCTGGGTAAGAACCATGCTAGGCCGGATCTAACAGATTGAGATCCCGGCATACACCTCCATGAGGACTTGAGTTGCCTCCCACGGGCTGTAAGGAGAACTAATCTCCATTAGGGCTCTACTAGGAAAGACTTCTGGGGAAGGCCTTCAGCTGGAGGCTGTCACGTGAGGCTCGTCCAAAGGCAAAGTGTTTTACTGAGCTCTAGTTCTGAGGCTCCTGGTAAATTTTTATATGAGCAATAGCAGGTTAACCTGAAGTTATTTCTAGATTAAGCGAACATACAATTTTAAGGGTCAGAACAATGGAAAATTAAAAGTTAGCACTAAATAAATATTAGAATCTTTCTTTATGGATGTAATTTACACTTCTCAGATGGAGGGTAATAAACTACACTGGTTATTACTTATCAATATTCTGTTTTAATCTTTCTGTGTCACATTACAATTATCTGTATTTATGGACACAGTGTGACGACGAGACCCGTTGGCACATTGTAAAGCAATCAAAGCGAGCACCTAGCATGTCCATCTCTGTGAGCACGGACCATTTCTTTGTGTCTCTCTGACATTTTAAAAGATAAATTTATTGAATACTCTGCATTTGCTATTTTAGCACTCACACACTAGTGAGAGACAAAATGGAAGTTCAGTGCTTCTGTCATGCTGTGGAGTCTACTGTTTTAAATCGGAGCTTAGTGAGTACTGGGTATGGAAAGCTCATTTTACAGTGTTCCATTCCCACTGCTCCCAGGAGGGTACTAGCCACGGACAAGGCAGAGAGACCCTGAGAAGGATGGAGACTGTCGCTGCTTAAGCTGTTTAATGAGGAAACCAAGGCTTGATTTTACATCTCACACGGGCTTAGACATGATATGATTCTATCTTTAAAAATTGAGTGTATTTACATTCACTTTTTTTTTTAAGACAGGGTTTTTCTGTGTGCCCCTGAATCATTCTGTAGAGCAGGATGGCCTTGAACTCACAGAGATTCACCTGCCTCTGCCTCCTGAGTGCTGGGTTAAAGGCATGCACCACCACTGCCTGCTTACATTCCTTCTTTTTAGGTCCCAAGGCTGCCCTTATAAATACTCTAGAACATAAGAAATGTGTCTGGGCAAGTGGAGTCTAGTGACCTGAGGCAGAAGAATTGTAAGCTGAAGGTCAGCCTAGGTATCTTAGTAAAATATTGTCTCAAACATAAAAAGTGCTAGGGATATAATGTGCTGGTAGAGCACCTGTCTAGCATATATGACTCTTAGGGTCAATACCAGCTCCACGAAAGAAAAAGAGAGGGTCAAAAGAGGGAGGGAATGAGAGAGATGGGGGCAGGGAAGAGAAGAAAAAGGGTGGGGATGAAAGGAAGGTAGACATCTGGGTAGTAATTTAAAAAAAAATCACAAATACATACCAACATTTAAACAAATAATATGCTAATATTTAAAGTATAGATTGTCAAGAATTATCTGAAAATGTCTACCTTTAAGAAAGAGCTACCAAACAGGAAAAGCAAAACAAAATCTTCTCAGCAGTGTTAGCATGTGAGCACATATCATGGGACAACTGTGATGATGGCCATAGGTGACAGAAAAGACAGGCTGTGGATGTGTGATCAAGAAGCTGGTCACAGACACAGAACAGACAGAGAAGGAAGTGGGAAGGAAAACAAAGCCAGCTGTTACGTCAGGCCCTGCCTTGAACCTGGAACAGGGCTAGGCAGTGTGGAGTGAGAGGGGAGGTATCGCAGTGAGTGGATCCCAGAATTACGGGAGCCCAGAACCTGGTTCCAGTCCTCAGCTGTTCTCATCCCATACCGGGCTTAATCTTCATCACCACCGGCTTCCGGTTTTTGTCCCTCATCTGTCTGATGTCCAGCAGATCATGAGGATTGCCGTTGTGCCGAGGCCAGCAATAGACAAATATCCGAGACCCGCTACTACCGCAGTCCACCACAATGCCATAGTTCACGTTGGGGTTGTTGGTGTCTGTAGCCTCGACGTCTGTGACTCGGGCCAAGTACCTTATTTAGAAATACATGAGTGTTAGTATTTAAACAGACCACTGTCCTGCTCTAACAGGGAAGGCTCACTCCAGAAGCACCACGTCAGTGACCTCCATGCTGTGTAATGATCTCTCTCTATGCCAGATGATGAGTCAAAAGAAGCCCAAACCAATCCTGCCCACAGGGAACCTCCTACTCAGGAATATGCTCACCTCCCCTGAGCACACACCACAGGTTCCAGAGACGATTGTCTCCAAAATGAAAATGTTTACTCAGAACCCAGCTTAAAACAGATGGAAGGGGCTCCTTGACTATCCCAGGGTCTCTTACAACATGGACTCTGCAGGCAGCTGTCAGGTACTTCCAACAGTCCAATTTATTAACAGGTAGTCAGCACAGGGTCCAGTTCCTACAGCCACGTGTTCCTGTGCCTGTTCAGCCATCGCATGATGGTCCAGAGACTGCTCTCTCCTCTGATCATCATTGTTGTGAGTCTAACTCGAGTACAGAACTAACCTCTTGGAGGTGATCAGATCAAGAGAGAGGAGACATCAGAGCAACCCAACCCCTTCCTGCTGTGGGAACTGGGCCAAAGCCTTCACCAGATACAAACTCTGCTGGCATTTTGCTCTCTGACCCCCGGCTTCTAGAGCAGTGGTTCGAAACCTTTCTAATGTTGTGGCCCTTTAATACAGCCCCCTCATGTTGGGGTCTCTATAAAAGTTATTTCATTGCTACTTCATACTGTACTGTTGCTACTGTTACGAACTGTAAATACCTGTGTTTTCCAATGGTCTTAGGCGACCCCTGTATAGAATCATTTGACTCTCCAAGGAGCTGTAACCCACAGGTTGAGAACCCTGCTCTAGAGCTATTCGAAATACAACTCTTGCCGTCTATCAGCCGCCCAGTGTTGTGTCACAGCGGCTGGAACACAAATCTTTATCTCTTACCTTTGAAATTTCTTCTCTTTTGACAGCCACCCATACTTGCTGCGGATTACGACAACAGAGAAGTATAAAAGGGAGACAGCTGCAGCCAAGATACTAATGACAACGATTTGTCGTAAATTGGTGTTCAGAATTCGAGGACAGCCCACTGGAGAGATGCTAAAATGCCAAGAGGCAGGAAAGAGACAGGAAATGCCAATCCTGAAATTCCAAAGAAACAGATTTTAAAGCAACATGCTTGGATGAGACCTGGCCTCACCTGACCAGTGTTCAGCATGAGCTCCCCCTGCTTCCTGGCTGCTGGTGGCTGCACTGAGCATGTTCCAGGTTATTGCTGTTTGGTTATGCAATGTGTCATTATAAAATGACGAGAAGAGAATGACACTTTGCTGGTTATAATGGTTACTCCTATATTATATAATATACATACATTTCCCCCCTTTCTTGGGAGTATTACAAAAACACCTGCCTTTTCCCAAAAGAGAATCCCAGTTCATAAGTTTAGCCAGATAAACACATAAATCTATAATGAAATCCAATTTAAGGATGATAACACCAAAGGGGGATGGAGGATACAGAAATGGCATGCTGTGAGCTACCCCATAAATGCCAGCAGCCTAATGGACCCAACATTGTGCATTAATGAGTCAATGGCTTAGCAGAAGTGAGATTTTCTTAACATGCAATTCTAATGTAAATTTCTCCCAGATGACCCAGTAATGGGAAAAACAGTCTTTCAACAGTATCTCCTTTATGGAGTCAGTAATGGAACTCAGATGAGTCCCATGATTTTAGAAAGATTCCCCTGAGACATGTTTTACAAACAGAAAGGAGTTCAATGTATGCCACAAAGAGAGGCAAACTATAGAGCTGTCAGCGGTGTTGCCTGTAGGATACATTTCATCACTTCATGGTTTCTAACTTCATTGTTCTGAAGAGTATTTCATGGACTAGAACCTCTCATTGAAGGAGACAGACAGCCAAACCCTGGAAACTTCCACTCTTGTTTCCTGTCACAGGAGTTTGGTGGACACTCCATGCCTGTGTCTTCCTCTTCTGCACCTCAGAGGCTCAAGGCAGCTATCCTGTGCTAATAAAACATCTGAAGATGCCAACTTGCAGGCCTAAACTGCAGCGCACGCTAACCTTTGTGGTGCTCACCTGGCTATTTTCTTTCTGCGACAAGTGCCCCACTGGGCTCTGTAGGGCCAATGTGTTTAGTACAATACAACTTCAAACCCTTCCCTCTTAGGATTTAGATCATCTTCCCTCTTAAGAGTCATTTCTCAGCATCAAAATCTCAGGTTTACGGGCTAGTGATGAAGCCAACCACTCACCTTCCCATACTGAAAGGCCAAGCAAGGTCCAGGTGATGTCATGGGAGTCAGTTCTCGTCATCTACAATGACAGAATCAGAGCTGGGGTCTTCCTGGAGTCAGAGGCACCCTGGTTCAGCGTGAGTAAAATCAAGAAGAGTACAATCAGATAAAATATCTATGACCCTACCAAGCAGATGCTCAAACTCAGCCGTACACCACCTGACTGTGATCCCTGTGGGGAGACTACTGGGAGAGAGCGGCACTCTTGTACACCAATTTTATGCTGCTAGAGATACAGGCCTTGGTCAGGAGATGCTGAGAGCCTGGCGCACGTTCTTACTGCAGGCATTCCTGTAACCCTAAAATTTCAGGGCACTAAAAAGTTAGAGAAGATTTGGAGAGGTGAGGGGTGCGCAGGATTAACTCAGTGGGAACTGGAAGCATGTATTCACTTGTTCTGATGTCCAAAGTGCCCTGCAAGGTGTCCTGGCCTTAGTGCCTCAGTCCCGTCACCCTTGTCCGCTTTCCTGCTAGCCCCAGCCCTCACATCACAAGTCCTTCCAACTCGCCGGAGCCTGAGGATGGTCTCCGCTCTGGAATCCTGTAGAGGATCCTTGGCTCTGTCCCAAAGCTGTCAGTCCTTGAGTCCCCCAGCGTTCTGCCTAGACTTCACTCTCTCCTGACTTCACTCCTGCTCTGAGTCATTGCCTCTGAACTTACTGCCTCCAGCTCAGCTCATAAGTGTAACACTTATCAGGTAACTGGTTTCTTCAGCCCAGCTCCTCTCCTGAGTCATGTACACATCCACCATCAATCCCCAGTCTCTGTATCTGGATGCCGCATGGACCATGAACCGTGTTTCTAAAATCCCACTCCTCATTCTATTTAATCCCACCCCCTCTCCTTTGTCCTTTGTCTCACCCCCAGTCCCCCCATCTTCCCCATCCAACTTCTCAGAATCCTTCCCAGACTCCTGCTCACCTAAAACCTAACCTTTCGCTTATCTCTGTTTTAGGCTAGGCTCTCACCTCTTACCTGCACTGCCTTCTCCCTGAAGCCCCATCCGGGGCTCTCCGGTGCTTTCCTAACACCAGAGGCTCTCCGGTGCTTTCCTAACACCAGAGGCAGGGATTCTTTCCCTGAGGCTGACACACCCAGAACTCAGATCACATCAAGCCAGAATTCAGAATCTCAGTGACATCTCATGCCCTTCAAACAAATGCTGCAATCTTCCTGTGCCCTCCAGCCCTGCAGACTCGGGCCAGCTGCTCTTCTCTGACCTCCTCACCTGCTCTCCTCTTTCCCCAGCATTCTGGCTGCACTGGCAGCCCCCACCAGCTTCTAGAAGTCTCTCACTCTGCTCTGTAGCCTGCCTGCTCCCTCTGCTTCAGAGCAATCCTTACAGCTGATCACCTGATCTCCAGCGGGCCATTACTCAGTAAGTACACACACCACTTTCCATCCAGGTCTCATCCTTGATTTATTTTTTTTCTCATTTTACATTTACTTCTTTTTTTTGTTTATTTTTGTGTTTTTGAGACAAGGTCTCTACATAGCCCTGGTCAACTTGGTATTCACTGTGTAGATCAGACTGGCCTCAAACTCACAGAGATTTGCCTTCATCTCTAAAGGTGTGTGCCACCACACCTAGCTTAGCATTTACTTCGTTATTATACACACACACACCCTCACACACACACACCCATAGGAGTGCTTACTGTGCTCAGGCTATGCTCCAAGTGTTTATGGTTATTCTGGTCTCCAGATACCCTGTGGTAGGGACTTGCTACTGTGATATTTGGCCATGGGGCAGAGATTCGGGGCTGGGATTCAAGTGTGTGACTCACACTGTAATCCCTGTCCTCTAACGCACTGCACATGTGCTGTCTTTGTTGCTCTTGTCCCACGAGTCCTTCTGTAGAAGGCATGCTGATTGCTGCACTAAGCCACCAGACTCTGGGAAAGGTTCTGACAAGGGTCAGAGTTCTGGAAAGAAAAAGGATAAGAACCTCTGCATTGGATAAGTCTTTTCAAATCAAAGAGAGACCTCTGTTCCTTACTTTTCTCTCTTAGTGAGAGGAAAACATCCTGACTCCTTGGGTGTGAAAGAAGGCCCCTAAGCCCGCATGGCTCATAAAGCAGCTAGCTGGCGGCTATGTGTGGCTACTTAAAGGAGCTAAAATGAAACCCTGCAGCCAGACGTGGTGGCACAGGCTGGTCATTTTAGCTATTTAGGAGGCTGAGACAGGAGACTCAAAAGCAGTGCCCTGGGGCGGTTTCATATAAAAAGTAAAAGGCTGAGGACATAGCAGTTGTAGTGCTTGCCTAGCGTGAGTGAGGCCCTGAGTTTACACCTACTAGAAGAGTAACAGTGACATTAAATATAAGACTGTGACTATGAAGTGTTTGAAATCTTCACCACACGGCCTCTGCGTGGTCTGTGAGGGTTGTGGACAGGCCCACATGGCCTCTTTGTGGTCTGTGAGGGGTGTGGACAGGCCCACACGGCTTCTGCGTAGTCTGTGAGGGGTGTGGACATCAAAACTAAAGCTCTTCAGACAGCATCCTAGATCCCAGGATATTTCTATACCAAATACCAGTGGTGGAGTCCTCAGCCTCCGTAGAATGCCCCTCTCTGGGGTCTACTGGCTGAAATTCCTGCATCCCTTGGGGCACAAGGAGAGCATGATCCTTTTTAAGAACCTCTCTAATACAACAGGGAGCTCTAGAATTAGAATTGTGTTGATTTTCTCTTTACAAGGCCATCCCAGGCAAGAACCAGTGCCAGCTACACTAGGAGGGAGAACTATACAGATAATCTGACTTAAACCCAACCCTTAAGAATTTATAACCATCCCCACACCACAGCTCTGCTTGCCTCTAACCAGGGGCACACAGGAGCCTAACGTAACTGTCCTCTGAGAGGCTCTATCCAGCAGCTGACTGAAATAAATGCATATACCCACAGACAAACACAAGATGAAAGAGTTGGGGGATGGATTGAAGGCCTTGAAGGGGAAAACAACTCTACAGGAAGATCAATAGAGTCAACTAACCTGGACCCCTGGAGGTCTCAGAGACTGAGCCACCTACCAAAGAGTATACAGGGTCTGGACTGAGGCCCCCTACACACATATGTAGCAGACTTGCAGCTCAATCTCCATGTGGGTCTCCCAACTACTGGAGTGGAGGCTGTCCCTAAAGCTGTAGCCTGGCTACGGTATCTGTTTCCCAACAGAGTTGCCTTATCTGGCCTCAGTGGGAGAGGACGTCCCTAATCCTGCAGAGACTTGCTTCGCCAGGGGGCCCTACCCTCTCAGAGGAGAAAGGGAGAGAGATGGGGAGGGACTCTGTGAAGTGGGAAGCAGGAGGGGGCAGTGTTTGGGATGGAAAGAAAAGAAGAGGAAAGGAAAAGAAAGAAAAGAAAAGAAGAATTTATAACTCAGTATAGAGGAACATACAATTCTCTCCCCTTCCTCCTCACTGTGAAAATAAATAAATATAATTAAAAATATTTTAAAAATTCATAGCCTGTTGGTGGTGGTACACGTCTTTAATCCCAGCGCTTTAGAGGCAGGCAGATCTCTGTGAGTTAGAGGCCAGCCTGGTCTCCAGAGCAAATTCCAGAAATGCCAAGGATATACAGAGAAATCCAGTCTCAAAACAAACAAACAAACAAACAAACAAACAAACAAACCACCTGACCGACGAACTAACCAACCAACCAACCAAAAAAACATATACAATGTAAAAAGCATTCTAATGTAATAGATGTTTAATAATAAGTTTTAATGTATTTTTTTATAAAATAACTCTTTTAAAGTATTTTAATATAGTGAGAAATTCAATGCCCTAAAAATTTAAAATTTTAAAATATTCATTAAAAGGAAAGGGGATAATATAAGCAAATACTGACATAATCTTAAAATAATTAAGGTCTGTCTCTAAATGATATCAATGTCTCAAACTGCAAAAGAAAGAAAATATAACTATGTATAATTTTAAACCTCCCATATGTTAAAACAACAACAAACCCTTCTCAAACACAATAGCTTGGGAAAGGAACTTGTAATACTTGAGACAAAAGGTAACCATTCTTGAGGCTGGAGAGCCGCTCTGTGGTTAAGAGGACTAGTTGCTCTTCTGGAGTACCCAGCTTCAATCCCAAACATTCACATTTTTAATTCTAGCTCCAGGGGTCTCTGATGGCTAGAGTCTCCAAAGGGACTCACATTCATATGCAAATACTCACACTTAACAAAAGATGCAAGGCCAGGGTGTTCAGACAGACTGAGGGAAAACAGGACCTGAACACCCTCAGGCTGGCAGAGGGTCGAGGGTAACATGTACTAGAGGCATTCGAGTGACATGTGTAGACAGGTTCAATGTGCCTGCCCTCCTCTCTACATGTCTAGAAACTTACTGTGGTGGTTTGAATATGAATGACCTCTAGAGGCTCATCTACTTGAGCGCTTGGCCATTAGGGAGTGGGGCTACTTGAGAGGGACTGGAGATGTGGCCTTGTTGGAGTGGGTGTGGCTTTGTTTGAGGTAGTGTCACTGGGGGTGGGCTTTGGGATTTCAGAAGCCCAAGCCAGGATCAATGGTTCTCTCTTCTTCCTGCTGCCTAGAACTCTCAGCTCCTTCTCCAGTACCATGTCTGCCTGCCTCTGAAACTAAGCAAGTCCCAATTAAATACTTCTCTTTATAAGAGTTGCTGTGGTCATGATGTCTCGTCACAACAATAGAACATTGACTGAGACACTTACTCTTGGGAACTCATAGGATAGATTGTGACTGAAACATGCACAGGATGGTCACCACAGAACTGTGCTTAAGAGCAAAACATTGTCCAGAATGTCACTCAGAAGATGAATACACGCCTTGCACGTGTAAGACCCTGGATTCCTTCCTAGAGCTATAAAAACACAGGGAAAGCAAATGTGACTCATGGGGGTGAGGGCACTTTTACACAATAACACGGTATGACTATTAAAGGTGATTGTCACTCTGTACTTGATATGGTGGAGCACCACCATGTATAAATAAAAACATTTCATCACCAAGAGAAGAAAATTGATAAACAAGATGTTAGCAGTGTTGCTTATGTCTGAGTGGCAGTGAGACAGATAACCAGTTTTACTCTCTTCCTTAGGCTTGCTTAAGTTTTCAAACACATATATTAATTTCATCATCAGGACAAACCACAGAATTATTTTTGACAAACTACCTGTGTTTGATTCCCTCCCTCATCTGGAAATATGAAGAAAGACTACTTTAAAAACTCAGGCTGAAAAGGGCTGAAAAGATGGTTCAGGACCTAAGAGTACTGTTGCCCTTGCAGAGAGGACCTGGGTTCTAGTCCCAACACCCACATGGTGGCTGACAATCATTTATAACTTCAGTTCCAGAGTATCCAAAGCTTTTGACTTCTGACCTCTGTGGGCACCAGGAATAAATGTAGTTCAGACATATTCAGGGAAAACACTCTTAGACATAAAAGAAAAATAATCTAGACTAAGAAGAAAAAACAAAAGACATAGCAACTGTAATTTGAGCACCAATTAATCAATGACAGTTGCACAACAGTTGAGCCAAGAAGAGTGTTAAACATGAACTGATGTGGGAGAAGAAAAGCCATTAATGCCTCAGTATTATAAATGTGACATGATAGGAACATGAAAACTCCCAACAGCACTATCGTCCAGCAGAGGATGAAGAAAGCAACCGATGGCAATGTTGAGTTCTAAGACTCTCCCCTGTGAAAGCTCAGAGCCCAGAAAGGAAGGCTGGCGCCAATACAGAGGTAGGAGTAGGAAAGAATTTGGGTGTGGCCAAGAGAGATCCACCTTACCAAGAATCACAGCATACTTGGCAAACCTTATTGCATCTAGTATTGGTCTTAGGGCTTTCTTTTTAGTTTTAAAAAGATTTCCTTTATTTTTCTTTAGTGTGTGTGCAAGTGCATGTGCCTGCACCAGTGCCTATGGCGGTCAGAAGAGGGCATCAAGTCCCTTGCAGCTGGAGTGGTTGTGAGGTCTCTGGGACAGCAGCTAGCACTATTAATCACTAAGTGATTAAGTCTTTTTATCCCCAGGACTTTGCTTTTAAGACATGTAGAATTTTGACAAAAAGGACAGTCCATAAATTACTTATTATTTTCACTCAAGACAGATGCAAGGTTGATTGTTGCCAAGAAGTCACAATACAGTAACTTGATCTTAAAATGTAGACTCCCACTGCTGTTTCTGCACCTAGAATTCTTGGCACCAGAGCTCAGGCAAGCAAACTAATACTGCTGTCATGTTTTAAACAAACTTCTAAAGTACAGCAGGCCTATTACCAGGGAGAGCAAGAACCTTTGTGATTCTAGCTGCAGGGTCCTCCTTAGCAGAAAATTATGTAAGGGAATGAAGCCTGTGGTGGTTTGAATACGAATGGCCCCCACAGGCACATATATTTGAATGCTTAGTCATTAGGGAGTGGCACTATTTGAGAAGGGTTAGAAGGTGAGGCCTTATTGGAGAAGAGGTGTCACTGGGGTGGGCTTTGAAGTTTCAAAAGCCCATGGCAGGCCCAGTGTCTCTGCTGTGGATCAGGTTGTAGCTCTTAGCTACTGCTCTAGTACCATGTGGGCTGCCATGCTTCCCACCACGGTGTTAATGGACTGAACCTCTGACACTGTAACCATGCTGCCAATTAAATGTTTTCTTTTGTAAGACTTGCCTTGGCCAGAACGTCTCTTCACAGCAACAGGACAGTGACTAAGACAGAGCCCATCTAGACCATGGGGCAATTTCTTGATGAGCCTCTCCTATTATGTGTGTGTATGGGTGTTGGATCTCCTAGAACTAGAGTTAGAAACAGTTGTGAGCTGCCATGTGGGTGCAGAAAAGTGAACCCTGCTCCCCTGGAAGAGCAGCCAGTGCTCTTAGCCGCTGAGCCATCTCCTCAACCATGAAGCTGACACACATCAGCCACGAAGCATATTTGGTGAAAAACACAGGTAGAGTAAACAAGTATTATGGGATTTGGGTTAGTCAGACTTTTCATCCCTGTGGTCAGCACCTGGGAGAAAACTTTTTACAATAGAAGGACTTGCTTTAGCTTATGGTTTCAGAGATCATGGCAGAGCAGCATACCATGGCGGTCAGGAAGCAGACAGAAAGAGGGGACAGAAGGAGGATGCTGAGCTATCCCTAGCTGGCTTTCACCTTTTCCTCTTTATTCCATCGATATAGATAGCCTATGGGATAGTACCTAACATTCAGGGTGGGCTAACCCACTCTGTCAATCCTCTGTGGAAATGCTCGCACAGACATGGCTGAAAGCTGCATGCCTTACTAATATCTGAGGCATTCCCCAACTCAACAAGTTAACAATCAAGAGTGCCCATCACAACACGCTTGAGTACAATCAATCAAATACAGGTTAGATTCCAGGAGAGTCTAACTCTTGAGCTAGAAAACTTGAGGTGACCTGAGGAGCGTTTCAAAACAGAATCATTTAAATATCAGACGGTTAAAGGGGAACCTTGAACAACTGTAAACACTGGCAGAGCTTGCAAGAAACAACAGTCTGCCAGGGAGCTCTGAGGTGATGGCCGCTGTGCAGCAGTGACTCAGCTATTGGTGAAAGATACAACACAGCAACTTGAAGAATGAGTGCACAGAGCTACACACAGGCTCCACAGTTCTTCCGGGTTAAACAGCAAGTCCCAGTCAATCCTGCCCTACCCCTACTACTCAGGTGCTACTCTGGTCACCACTCTGAATGGCCTTATGCAGACGACACTTTCCCTGCACCAGCTCTGCGGTCTCTCCCCAGAATGGGACTTCCCTCCAGTCCCAGGTCCACATCTCCAACTTATTAAGCCAAGTCTGGGTAAAACATACCAAGTTCTGAATTCTCTGCCAGCTTTGGTTCTTACTTCTCCTGTACCAACATCCCATCATTCATTAAGGTCTGTCAATTCTTTTGTGTCTGTATGTTCATGTATGTGCAGGTACACATGTGCATGTGTGTGCGCATGTGTGTAGGCCAGGTCACCATGAGGCATCTTTGTTAATCAAGGTCTCTCACTGAACCTGGAACTCATTAACTAGCTAGGCTGGCTAGCCGATGAGCAACAAGTACCCCTTCCCCCAGCTCCCCCAGCACTAGAATCTGAACTTAGGTCTTCCTACTTTCCCAGCAAGCACCTTACCAACTATTCTAACTCCCCAGCCTCAGGATCTGTCAATTCTTCATCAAGCAGCCCACATGTCTTGGATGACCACAGCAGACGATGCTCCTTCAAGACAGATCTTGTGGGAAGCCACTTCTGCTTTCACTGCAAACACTCTTTATGAAATGCTACCTTCAAAGTACGACCAAAGAAAAGACCGAAAGCCTGTGGATCAATACCAGCCTCTCCACACAGCATGTGAAAGCTCAACTCATCATCTGTTCCTACACTACCAACAGCCTGTTCTAGCCTCACTCAAATACTATCTCTCTGTCCTGGAAGGTGGGCCTGTGCCACACAAGCTCTTCTAATACCGGCCTTTGGCTTTTAATAATGCTGTTCCTTCTTCATATTCAGCTTGTGCAATGGCACACCTCTCAGGGCCACTGGGTAATACTTTTTAAGTCTAGATTTAACTTGTTATACTTTCTAATGTCTTCCTGCACTCCAAATCTCATGATTCACATGTAGCCTTGTTGAAACAAACTGAATGCATACAGAGGGAAGACAGACAGACCCTTAGATCAATTCTCATGTTTGTCTCAAAGTCTCAGATCACACATTTCCTGAATATAAAGGCTAAAAGAATATAAGCCATAAATTCAATGGGCAACCAGAACAAGTGGTGGGGGCTGGCAGGATAGCTCCACAGGGAAAAACACTTAGTATTGTGCATGCACAACTATTTGAATTCATTTCCTGGAACCCCAGAAAAAGTTATCCTATAAACGCCGGTCATGGGGAGAGTCACATGTACATGCCCCCCTCCCCATCATCCACTCACACACATGCAATAATAATAAATTTTAAAACAGATGGTAAATCAACATTAAGATAAGCAAAAAAATTTAGCCACTCATATAAAATAAGCACAGTTCTGCAACTATGTCAAACAATTAACAATTAACAAATAACTATGTTAACAATTAACAAGCCAGATAATAAAGACAACTTAAACATAAGATAACACAATACAGATCTTAGGCCCCTCTGAGGAGGGAAGTGTAGGTAATCTCCTCTCACAAAAGCTTTTATAAAGCCTGCAACCTTACTTAACTGAGTGTCTAGTTTAGGAATGTTATTGACCTTTAGTTTACTGTGTAACATGCAGGTCTTGAATTATAAAGCATCTCTTTTGTTTTCTAGTGACATATGGTCTCAGCACCTGTGTTCACCTAGGTGGGGTCTGAGGCGCCCTGCAGGTTCTGGGATTATATTCCTGAGAATGGGAGACCTGTCCCTTTAAAAGGAGTCCACGCATGACTCGAGTTGAGAAACATAATCGTGCACCATCTCTCGATCAGCTCCATTTTTTCCCACGGGGGAAATCTAACAGGAAACTTCCCCAAAGCGCAGAGGAAAGCAAATACGTGATGCTACATGCGTCGGTGTCAGATTTCGGGAGGCAGGCAGAGGCCATCCAGCCCCGGGAGCAACAGTCCTTCTCCCTCAGCCCACACTCGCCACGGGGTCTGGGCGCTCCGGAGACCCGGCAAGGTGTCGGGGGACAAGCACCTGTCACCGGGGTCACGGGGCTGCGGCGCGTCGCCCGGATGTGGCGGGGACGACGGCTGGACAGGACCGTGGCCTCCCGCTGCCCTCGCCCCTCAGGACCCCGGCCTCACCTGCTGGGCGGGCCGCGGCTCCAGGGGGGCGGGCGGCCACTAGCGCACCGCATCCCGGCCACCAGCTTCCCGGAGGTTCGGCTCCTTTCCGGGAGCCACGCTGCGCGCCCCCGCCAACGTCACGTCACAGCTCCCGCCGGCGCGCGCACGTAGGAGGCGAGAGCTCGCGCGCTGGGGAGGGTGGGAAAACGGGCCTGCGTGGGGCGGGGCCTACGGATGATTAGCACCGAGTGCTGGGTTAGCCTCCCGACTCCTGCAGGGCTCCCTCGCCTCTGAGTGAAGGAGGTCCACATGGCTCCTGGGCATCTCTGGCTAGCCAGGTTGCCCCACGCCGCAAGGTGATGGTGCGACCACGGTTTAGCTTTTCTTCATACTCCGGATGATTCTAGAAAACAACACAGCCTAGCAAGGTCTAGGCCTTGTGGCTTAACTCAGGACACTATTATTCATTCATTCATTAATTCTTATGTGCATGATTGGGGTGGTGGGGCGCGTGTGCTGCAGCTCATGTCTGGGCATGTCAAGGATAACTTTCTGGAAAAGGTTCTCTCCTTCCACTCTAAGTTACAGGGACCGAACATAGACCCCCAAGTTTTATTCACTAGGTCATCTCACTCAATCAGTTCTCCACATGCTTTTATTCTGCTGGTTCTTGTTTTATAAATGGGAATTTATTTTGTCAGTGAGTGTTTTGTCTTTCCCAAGCCAAACATCCATCCTGTGCCCTGGTTTTGAGGAGAAATGAGGAAGAATGCTTGCTTCTGCATACTGACTCCATGATGTATTCCCAGCCCATGGCACCTCCATGGCTCAGTTAATTGCTCTGAAGTTGCAGAGCTATGTAATTGAGAATGAAGACCTGGAAATAGGGCTTAGACCACAGATGGGACCATCCTACTAGACACCTGAAGATATTTTTATGTTTAGAACTTTATAAAGTCCTATTTATTGGATAAAACATGCGGGCACAGAGCCAGTCATTCTCCATCTTAAAACAGAGTCCTGGGTCTAGAACCAACTTGGATCACCTGCCCTTTCTGGTAATGTTACACAACTGGACTTAAAATTCAGTTCAGCAAGAAATTCAATACTGCAGGCAGAGCAACTGGAGCCTTCCTGCTTAGAGCCATGTGACTTCTACTTAGATTCTGCTGGGGCCTTGATGTCCTCCACAGAAAAGAATTTCAGAGTGAAGCAAAGCCATCAAATTTACAGGACTCAACTGAAGAGCCCCAAGGGCAGGCATCAGGACAGGAATGTACCTCAGCATCCAGAAGGAGCTGCACATGTGACTTTGGGGGAGTTGAAGCAACCTCATATATAACTAACTTTAGATACTAGACCAAGCACATGATGGTACATTTCTTTCTGTTACCCCCAGAATTGTATCTTTGACGAGGGATTTTTTTTTAAAGGTACATGTTATGGGCTTGCAGTAGAGACGAGAGAGTGCTACTACAGATAGAAGCCCTGATTAAAGGCATGTTCTCTGTACACAGGTCACAAGAAGGTTGGACCACCATTTTAACAGTCTTGTCTGTGATGATTCTCTGGAACTGAAGGGCAGTTCTTTTGAAGGTGGCTGGTTAGTTATGAAGAAATTCCTGGGGCTCCAGGAAGAGCAAACATAAGAACTGGGGGTTGAAGGGGCCCTTTCCTGCTTTGTGTCCTCTCTTACTTTCTAACTATCCTGCTTCAGTTCCCTGCTGAGACTCTGATCTTTTAATCTTCAGAGCTGATGATGCCCAATGCTTCTGTGTTCTGTATAGGGTGTAGCTTCTGCCTCTTTAGGGATTCTAATTCTCTCTATGTCTCTCTGTCTTTCTCTGTCTCTCTGTCTCTGTGTCTGCTTCTCTCTCTCTCTCTCTCTCTCTCTCTCTCTCTCTCTCTCTCTCTCTCTCTCTCTCAATGGATGGATGTGTACCCACAGGTATGTGTAGAGGACAGAGGCTAACCTTGGCTTTTGTTTCTCAGGATGCCATCTAGTCTGTCTGTCTGTCTATCTATTGACATGGGTCACTCACTGAATGTGGAACTCACTAATTTAGCTACTCGGATTGGTCACTGAGCCCCAGGAATCTACCTGTCTCTGCTTCCCCGTCTCTGGAATTACAAGTGTGTACCACCATACCCAGCTTATTTTATGTAGTTCTGAGAATCAAATCCAGGTCTCATGCTTGTGCTACAAGCTCTTTGGGTTTGAAAGTTTTAGCCTGCATGATCTAAAGGGAACATGAGAAGGTCAGTTTAGAGATTGGAGGGTCACTCTTCGGGAATCTGCAATGATGTCATCATCTGGAACACTAGATTGTGCAGACAATAAGCACAGAGCAGATTGTTATGGTTGGCTAGTCTTAATGTCGACCCCAAAAGTAGAATGTTTTCACTACCTGGTATTTGAGAGCTATCATGCTAACCAATCACTGGAACTCAGAACATAATATGTCATTGCTTTCATTTCAGTATGTAAGTTTTGTGAGGTGTAATATACATACCCACCATGCCACATTAAAAGTGGCACAGGTTCCCCCTTGCACTCTGTCAAAATCAGTTTTGTAAGATGGTTGTCAGCATCATTTTAAGTGATGATGCATACATCTGGCATTTGGGAGGCAGAGACAGGTGGATTTTTGTGAGTTCAAGGCCAGCATGGACTACATATTAAGTTTCAGGACAGCCAGAGCTATGTAGAGAGATTCTGACTCAAAAAGGAAAAAATAGAAAAGAAACAACAAGCAGAAATTTAACATTAGAGTTTAACAGTGAGATCCCTTGGGATGGATCATTAAGGGCTTTTTGTGTGAACTTAGTGGTCCCAAATGTCATAAAATATCTACTAATCCTACTTGAGGAATAGAATTGGGAACGAAATCATTTTGCCAGTGAAAACCAGATCACTGTCTATGTTGTATAACTGGGAGATTTGCAGGAGGACTTACGGTTTTTATCTAATGTCCTTGCATTCAAGGGTGACATAAAGTCCATTGCCCAGTCCATCCTGGACATACCTGTTCCTGGACAAAGTTTACTATCACAAAACCACTTGGAACCATTATGAGCAGCCTCTCTGTTCCAGTTCGCCAAATCTATTTGGTATTAGAGAATCAATTTCCTTTAGTAACATGGTTGAATTACAATCAGCATCAAGGATCCAACTGAACTGTCAGGTGAATATTCCATACTCTTCAAAGGAATGTGTTTTTTTTTTTTTGTTTTTTTTTTTTTTTGTTCTCCTGAGAAGGGAGCCAGCTAACTAACTGTCCTGTCACAGGCAGTCTATTTGTGGCCATTCCAAATTTGGAAATGTCCTTCCTGTATCTGTGATTACCTGGTCAAATCGGAGGCGCTGTGGAACAGTTGTTTGAGGTGGAGCCACAGACTGCTTAGAAATCAGTCTCTACTAAAGTCTTTAATCCCAGAACTCTGGAGGCAGAGGTAGGTGGGTCTCTGTGAGTTGGAGGCCAGCCTGGTCTACAGAGTGAATTTAGTACAGCCAGGGCTACATGGAGAAATCCTGTCTCAAAACAAACAAACAAACAATGAAAGAAAAGGAGGGGGAGGAGGAAGAGGAACAATCTTTGACATTGTGAATCACATTTGTCATCCTAGCATAAGGGAGGAGGAAGCAGGAGGATTGGGGATCGAGGTCAGCCTCTTGGCTACATAGCAAGTTGAAGGCCAGCCTGGGTTACATGAGACCTTGTCTCAATGAACCATCAATCAATCAATAAGAAAGCAGACAGACAGATACACATGCATACACGTGTATGTACATAAAATTTTCATAATCTGGTTGATGAGCACTGCTATACCCTTGACTGGTATGTTAAACTGTAACTATGACATACTCTGTCTTGAGTTGTTTTTTTTTTTTTTTCCTTTAAAGATTGAATTTTGGGCTGTCGTGATGGCTCACTGGTTAAGATCATGAGCTGATTTCTCCAGACTACCTGGGTTTGGACCACCCAGCACCCACGTGGTTGCTCACAACTGTTTGTAATTACAGTTCCAGGGGACCCAATGCCCCCTTATATCCTCCGAGGTCACTGCATAAGTGTGGTACACAGACATGCATGCATGCAACACACTCATACTCACTAAATACAAATTGTAAAATTATTATTTTGTGTATATGAGTGTTTTGTCTGCATGCATGTCTGTGTACCACATGCACCAAGGTGCCCATGCAGGTCAGAAGAGGGTGTTGGATTCCCTGGAACTTCAGTTCTAGACAGTTGTGAGGCACTGTATGTGCTCAGGACTGAACCTGGTTCTTCTGCAAGAGCAGCAAGAACTCTTAACTGCTGAGCTATCTCTCCAGCCCCATCTGTCTTGTGGTTTAGTGATTGGCTAATGTTCATGATTCTCAAGCTCTGTTTGTGGGAAAAGATCCTTTATTTTGGCTGTTGACTTTGAGTGTAGGCATAACAATCTGTGGTATGCTTCATTGTTTATACAGTCCACCGTATCAGAAAACTGTGTCGTTTCTTCCAGAATCCCATGGAATGAGGACCTTCTGTTCTTCAAGATCTGACCTCTCACATCCTGCCTCTCTTCCATCAGGAAGGTGACTTTCAGTTCCTAGATAGTCACGGTAGGTGTCCCAGTTCAGCACCCTGGCTTCAGAAAGGCTGATATTCAGCCATGGCCTGCCCTAAAATTTAAGTCATCCAAGTCCCACAAGAGAGAATCGACATAGGATAGCTTGCTAGGAAATAGAGGAGTCACAAAGAAGGAAGCCCCTGCCCCATCTCCTGGTTCTGATTTCTATTTCCTCCTAGCTGAACCCTAGTCATTTCTTCTACTTTTGTGATGCTGAGGTGCATTCCTGTCTTGATGCCTGTACTTGAGTCTCTCCAACTGACTCTTGCTTTTCTGCTAACTCCATGAATGCTCTGACTCATGCTGAAATTCTTTCTATAGAAGCTATTAAGGACCCAGCAGCACACCCTCTCTGCCTCCTCGAATTGCATTTTCTGTTGCCAGTGGCAGATTGAGTTGCTGTGCATAGCAGTGACCAAGGCTTTTGTGCTTTATGTTGAATAACACTTGTCCCTCAGGATCTGGGAGCATTAGCTCCAGGACTTCGTCAGTTTTCAAAATCCACAGGTGCTGAAGTCCCTTACATAAGAAGCATT